TTTTTTGGCTTTGTATTTCGCGAACGGTCGTAATATCTTAGTTTTGTATGTATGGAATATTAATTTACAAAATAATATACCTGGGTGTCGTGACGCGTTTTAATTTATACATGAACTCAATTCTACATTAAATTTGAAGGCATTATAATAAGATACAAGTTGAAATTTGTATTCGACAACATAAAAATGAACATAGTTTTGAACTTCAAGGTGGTATCCTGATCCTTTGGCTGAATATAATCATATCCAATGAAAACTCGTCATTACAGAATGAAGCCATTGGATTGGATATAATGACAACCGTTCGCGATATTGATGGCGTTCGCGATATTGATGGATTACCTTAGTAAGTTTTTTCGAAAAAGTACCAGAGGTTCACTTTGAAGTAAGCTCAAATTTGTCTGTCAATAGAAAAAATACCAGAGGTTCACTTTGACGTAGCTTTGTCCCTCAATAGGGTAATAATCTTTATGTGGATTTACATAGTAATAATGTGTCTATATAAATGAATTACCTACGGTATATAAATCGATACCATCACGGCACAACTGGCTTGAGGTATACATATTGCTATTTGTATGTCTGGAAGAAGAGAAAATTATGGGTTAGTGTCCGATTCGTACGATATAAAACGGTGCTACCTAGAACGGATTGAAAAAAATTTGGTCTGAGAATTATACAGCCAATATGTATGGGAGTGTCGGAGGATGATGCCGTTACTCCGGCGTACTAACTGTAAAGGTTAAACGCAGCAGGCCATATATGAACATGTATGTTTGTGGGCCTGGTGTATGTACATTGATGATTATTAACGAGTTTGGATTGGGTTTATAGTTTAGATATCAGTGGTTACGCCAGCACATATGCGACGGCGGCAGCACACACCGCAGCGGAAGATGCGACCATGCCGGACGCTGCCGATTGGACGCCTACCGGAACGGCAGGGGGCGCGGTGGTGGTGGTAGAAACCTTGTTGGCGGCGTTGTTCCCAGCGTTGTTCGCAGGAGCCGCCGTCGTGGTGGGAGTTGTGGTGGTGGCACAAGGACCTTCCTTGACCAGGGTCAGTGTGGGGAGATCGCAAGCGGCATTCTTGAGCTCACATTCGTTGCCGTATGTCTTGCCGTTGGAGCCGCACACTTCCTTGAGGATTTCTAAGCATGCCTTCACGCACGTGGAGGCTTTGCATTCGCCGGCGCTTACGAGCTTGATGGTGGCGTTCTTGCAGGTAGCGACGCCGAGGAGACACTTGTTGCCGTAGGTGATGCCATCACTGCCACATTGAGGGTCCAACTCCCGCGTGCACGGCGTGTTGTCGCAGTCGGAAATCGCAGACGACGGACATTCACCAGCGGACACGACCGTGATCTCGGTCTTGGTCGAGCACGCGTCTACGTCCAGTCGACATTTGTTCGAGTACGTTTTGCCGTTCGACCCGCACACAGGTTCGTACACGTCAATGCATTCCATTTCGCATTGAGCACCGACGGACGCCACGGCGGCAAGGGCCACGGACACAAGAAGTTTGAATTGCATGGGGAAACCAAGAATGAGCCGATCATTGCATTCGTCCATGCCGCACAAGGCGTTCAACGCAATACGTACTTAATACGGTGTATTGGATATTTGTATGGAGGCCGCATCGAACTTAATAGGAGCGATCTGGGTCAGTCTGAGTATGGGACATTTTCGCGTTGCAATTCAATGATTCAATCAAATCAAGTGTAAAAAGAGCATGGTTTTCATGAAAATTTGATACTTTTCGCTTCGACTGAAAGTACCCGACCATCACTCCTTCCGTTCTTGAAATTTGTATAGAAGGTGCTAGAATCTGGACCAATAAAACCTACCCACGTCAAAAGGACCAGGAATACCTGATCCTGCCAACGTATCCACAACTGAACTCGGTGACGAGAGCGATGCATCCGGTACACTCGTACTGTACTCATATAGGTCAAGCCATGCCCCTGATGCAAATCCGTCTTTGGTAACGTTAAGTCTCTCGCGAAAATACTTGACACCGTACATATTGTACGTATGATAACCGGATAAAGAATACTCGAGGTTTCACAATATGTTGCTTGGGTCATATTTTTCAGTGCTGATCGGTCTCGGTTAAGTACGTATGTCACACTGGACGGTTTCGCCAAATATTCAGTTTTGTTTTTAGCAAAATACGATTATTAACGCTATTTAATACAATGCACATTCGGGCATGAAAAATTGAAACGTTGAAGTTGCACTTCAACTTGACCTGAGTTTGCACCACCACCCAAGCAATGATGATGTCAACCGAGACTGACGGCACAGGTTATGTCAACAACAAAGGTTGGTACTGTACAGTTGTAATAAGCTCTAGAACATCCTCGAAGCTTTAACTAACTTACTGTAGCTGTGGCAGGACTGTACAAGTATCATTCATTCGGTGTGTCCTGCATGCCATCTACAGCACCACGCGAATTTAGGAAGTTTATAGCGAGCGAATTCTCAATATATATTTCCGCGTTTATCTCAAAACTACAGCTTGGTTCATGCATACATGGCCTCGATAGCATGTTCGTATTTGGCCATGACCACCCGTCGTTTCAACTTGAGCGTGGCCGTGAGTTCGTCGCCGCCAATGCTAAAGTCCTTGTCCAGAATGATATACTTTTGAATGTGCTGCGCCCGGGACGCCGCGCGGCCGTTGGCTTTTTTCAACTTCGTCTCCACGTAGGCCTTGACCTTGTGGCAGGTCTTGGCCTCTCCCACGGTGGTCGCCGTGGATCCGAGGCCGGTCAGAATGGCGAGCGCCGTGCTGTCCAGCTGGTCGCTCGGGTTGCCGTCGGCATCTACCACCACCTTGAGCGTGAACACAGCCGTGAGGAACTTGCGCCGGTCGCCGATGGCCATGGCGTTCGACAGCAATGGGATCTCTTCCTTGATCGCGTCTTCCAGCAGCACGGGGGGGATATTTTCCCCGCCTGCGGTGATGATCAGCTCCTTGATGCGACCCGTGATGGAGCAAAAGTTGTCTTCGTCCAGCTTGCCGCAGTCCCCCGAGTGCAGCCACCCGTCGGCATCGATCGTGTCTTTGGTGATTTGTTC